AAAAACGGGGGTGGGGGGGTGGAATACTGCTATTCAGTTTAAACTAGAACTGCTACATCAAGCTTTCTCGTAACATATGTATATATGTATATATATATAGTCATATATATTCATATATATATAGGGTATTGGAAGGAAAGGTTTAATTAAAAGCCGGCTTGCAGACTGGGCTGGACGGCTGGCTGTGGGCGCAGACAGATTGCTGCCTGTCCAGACAGACAGCTGGCCAGCCGGTCCCAAGCTCGGACGTTTGTTTGGGTCGTTATCCCTTTTTTTTTTAAAATATATGTATATATATGTGTATATATATATATATATATTTGTCTTAGAAAGGTTTTGCCAACCGTTCTTGGCATGCAGGAGGCTTTTACGTTGCTTTATCCCGGGAAAGGGGAGATGGAAAGGGGAGCGACGCTAGCGCCCCTTCTGTAACCCTCCCTCCCCTCCCAGGGTCAGTGCTAGAATATACCCCGACCCACCCCGATTTACCCCATCCGGGTGGTCGTTCCCTACCCCCGCCCCCTCCCTTGCCCCAACCTGGCATCCCAGAAAAACATGGATCAAAAACGCGCTCACGTTACCACGGACAGACTTCACTTCGCCAGCGACTACGAGCCACGCTACTCACAGATCGGCCCCGCAGGACTTGGGCCGGGCGCCATCCCGGCCCGACCCTGTCCATGGCCAACACAGACATATCTGAACGCCCCTACGGAGGGGTGGTCTGGACCCCGCCAGCCTTCCCCCCGCCCGCACTCTTGACATCAAGGGGACAATTCTGCACAGAGATGGAAAGTTCAAACCCAACCCTCGAGGAACCAAGAAAAAACAAAGGAAAACAGCTTTCTTTCCCCTCCTTTCTTGTCTTTCCTTCCCCACCCCTCCCAGACATGACACCAACCTCGACATCAAGCAATAACTGGACCTGTGTTAGACAGGACACAGGCAGACAGGCCCAGATCTTGAAGCCGCGCAGGTGCGGATCTCACAGCTGCGCGTGGGGAGACGGGCCTGTCCCCCCAAGCGTATGAATGGGATGGAGCCCATGGAGGTGGATGTGGGAGCCAGCTCCTGCCCCTACGGGCATCCGCAGCCCCATTTCTCCATCACCGGTGTGGCTCCCGCCAGGCCTAAAAGGTGACGGCTGTTGTTTGGCAGCGGTGTGTTCACCGGTGGGGTGATGGAGAAGGAGGCTGCCTCCCATCCACTAAAGCTGGGGTTGGCACAAACTTTTCCATCCACATCCATCCCGGACAATATACTCCCTCCGCCCACCCCCTCCAATGCTAACCCAGCGCCTTGTGCCCGCTCTCCGGAGAAGGCTCTTGAACAGTGCCGGGATTTCAACTGTGGGCGCATCCCGAACAGATGGCAGGGCCCAGACCGCCGTCAGGAGGAAAACGGGCTCTTCCTGGAGAACGCGTCGTGACGAAACCCACCATCTCCTGGAACTCGAGGGGCAAAAACCACCCATCTCAGGCTACTCCTGCCATGGCGGTGGAACCGTCTCCATCCCGAGTTGCAAAGCTTTTTGGTTGGCGGTTCCAGGCGAGGGTCCGGAGCTGCGAGTAGAAGCTGGTGGGGGAGAGGGAAGGAGGGGACCGAGTGAAGAACAGGTGTGGGAGCGTGTGAGTGCACACGCACGCCTGCCGAGGTGCTGGGGAGTGACGTGCCTCGCCCTAGAGGTACTCGGGTGGGTTAATTGAACACGCGTAACTTTGCCGCCATGCCCCTTTGGCATCCGAGGTTGATCAAACCTGCCTAGGTTAAGACGCTGGCTGATGCCTGCAACCAAAGCCAGCTTTGAAGCCCATCTCCCCAACATCCCAGTGGCTCAAAAAGTATCTGATTGAACAAAACCAGGAGTCTTGACATGATTCAACAAGGCAATTCAGATTCTTTTTTTTTTTTGTGTTTTGTTTTGTTCTGGAAAAAATATAATATATAAAAGCGGCAACCTCTGGAGATCCAGGTTAAGGAAATTGAAGAGGTTTTTGGTCCATAAAGAAATACTTTCTTCTTCTTCTTCTTTATTATTTTCCCTACTTGGTTTTGGGTAACAAAAGTTTTGGTCCAGTTTAAAAACGACAAGAAAATTATATCTATAAACTTGGTTTCTTTATTATTATTATTTTTTTTTTTTGCTGTCTGTCAGGATGTGTGTTGGCTTGCTGAGGGCGCATGGCCGGTATTGCATGATCGTCTTTCTTAGGTTTTGGTGCGAAATATATATATCTCTATATTTTTAAGAACAGAAAAGCACAGCCTCACTTGTGTGTGTGTGTGCGGCTGCAGCTGGCATTGCTTGGAGAGTGACGTATGGAAACGTGGAAGTCAGTATATTCCCCCCTTGGATGGGAGCACGCGACTACTTTTGAAATACCCTGTTAGCGACTCCTGATTCGGGTGATGAAGACATCCCTGCTTGGAGAAGGAAAAAAAAGTAACCTAGTTCCAAACTCTGCGTTGGCTCAGAATACGAATATAAACTCACGGCACCCAGTGCGACTCCAATAAGTTCTTCAGTTTCACCGGCGTCATCGTTTTCATTCATTTCTCTATTTTTTTTTTTCTGATTTTCTTCTTTTTTTTTTTTTTTTTTTAGGAAAAAAAACCAGAAAATAATAAAAGTTCTCTAGCTGCTGTGTCATTTTTTGTTTAAATCTTTGAGGTAATACAGTTGTGCCCTCACTCTAACAGGTTCCCAGAGGTTGATGATTTTGCCTTTTTGTTCATTCCCCATCATCCTTTTTTTTTTCCTTTTCTTTCCACTTTGATTCTTCCACTGAGTTTGCATACACTCGTCGGGTTCATATCCCCAGGGGTGGGGAGGGAGCAAGGGAGCTGGGGGCAGCTTCAGACCAAACTGACATCAAGCATGACCCCCACCCCCCAGCTCGGTGGATGGAAAAGCCGAGAGTCCCACCTCACTGCCAAAACCAAAAGAAAACAACCCAAACTGGAACAAAACCACGTTTTTCTTTTGTTGGTTTTTTTTTTTCCATCTGTGCGTTCAGAGTCCTGGTTTCTCGCAGGCCGGGACATCATCTGCCCCTTGGAAATTTCTGGCTTTTCTATTCATTTTCATTTTATTCTTCTTCTTCTTAATAATAATCACCTTTTTCTTTATTAATTTTTTTTTTGTAAAAATAACCTACATTGCTCGTAAAATAATTTCTTTTTCTTTCTTTCTTGTTCCTCTTTAAATTAATTATTTTATTTTTTTACTCTCTCATTTTGTTCGGTCTTCGGATGTCACTTGTATTACTGGACCACCTTCTTCCTCCTCCTCTTTTATTTAGTTAGTTATTTATTTCTTTTGGAAGCCCCGCCCACCCCTTTTTTGCCCCGCCCCATGCCCCGTCCTGTCTCTTTAAGAAAATATTCTAATGGCCTGAGTGGCTGCCGCGTGGCAAACAGGGCACTCGGGGTCGGTCCGCTCACAGATCCGCACGGCGCACTCCATGCAGAAGAGGTTGTGGCCGCAGGGCACAAGGGCAGCCGTGACTTCGCTTTCGAAGCACACCATGCACTCCCGGCTGCTGGAGACGGCCGTCCGGGCCACGGTGCTGGTGCCCAGCTTGGAGAAGCCTTGCAAGGGTTCCCCTTGCGACCTCCTGGGCAGGCTGGAGAGGTTGGGCTCCTGGATGGACGAGGACGGGGAGCGGTGGGAGTTGGGGTGGATGGCCCCGGTGCTCCCCGACCGCTGCTGCTTGGAGAAGAGCACGGACACGGGGTTGGTGTTCTCCTGCCCGGCCCACATCGGGGTGCTGGAATCCGGCACCCCGTAATACAGATCTTGCTTGCTCACTCCGTAGTTGGGGAAGAGGTAACCGTAATTGAAGTCGTTTTGGTCGTTGAGCCGCGGCGTCTCGTAGATGGGGTCCACGGAGCAGTCGCCGATGCAGCCCAGGCTGTTCTGGCGGAAGGTGGAGAGCGGCTTGCAGCCCGGGGCGGGCGTGTGGACCCGCCACGCCTCCGAGTAGCGGTTCTCCATGCCCGAGTCGGGGCTGCTGGACAGGAAGTCGTTCTCGTTGTTGTACTCCAGGATCTTGCCCGTCCTCACGGCGATGTGGGTCTCGATCTCCTCCCGGGCCCGCTCCACGTTGCCCGGCGCCCCCGTGATCTCGAACACGGGGTCCCGGTCCCGGCTGGGCGTGATGATGTAGGTGTTGGTTTGCTGCTGGATTCGCTTGATGGTGGCACCTTTGGGGCCCACCACTAGGCCCACCACACGGTACGGCACACGCACCCGGATAGTGACCTGGCCCGGCAGGGTTGGGGCACTGCCAAAGGTGGTGCCGGCCTTGTTGCGAGATGCCCGGATCATGGAGAAGTGCTCGGCGGCTGAGATGATCTCCCGCCTAGCCATGGCGACGTCCTCCCGCCGCCCTGTCACCATGAAGACCGGCTCCTCGCCGCGCACTGGGGTCTTGATGTACGTGTTGGTCTTGGCCCTCAGTGCTTTGATCTTGCAGCCTTCGGGGAGAGGCAGAAGAAGGAAACAAAGGGGAGATGTTAGAGCACAGGACTTCCTCCCTTCCCCTCCCACGAGGACCAGTTCCCCTCAACCCCTACCCTAGGGCCCAGGCTTGCCCAAAAGCTAACTTCCGTCAAGCTCCAAGCAAGGCTCCAATCCTGCCAGGGGCTGAGTACCCCTCTCCTGCACCCTAACCCTGCCAAAGGCCAGTTCATTTCTCTCCTGGAGGGATTATTCCCCTATTCAGGAGTGGGGGAAAATGGGAAGCTGTCCACTGCACCGGCTGGCCATTACTATGGTGATGACAAGGGGCAGCAGTGTCAGGTCCCTGGGGCGAGCTGAGCTGAGCAGGTCTTAGCCCAGTTCCCAGCATGGAGACCAGAGGAGCTGAGAAATGAGGGGGTGACGGAAAGGTGCATTTCCAGCCTGCAGCCCATCAGCCATCCCCAAGGAAGGAGTAACCCAGGTCTGCAGTTTAGGACACAAGCATCCCTGGTCAAGCAGATCCCAAGCTGCTTCCCCCACACCAGAAGCCCCTTTCTTCCCCCTCCCATCCCCCAGCTGCCCCCCAGGTAGCCAGCAGCTGCGCCCCCATCCCAGCCCTAGGAGCAGCAGCTGCACTGAAGCCCCCTGCCCAGCTTTGCAGTGGAATCAATGGAGCAGCAAATCCCCTCGCCCCTATCCCCCCCAGCCACGAAGATGTGCGCACAGCGGGGCTGGTGACATGCGAGCCCCGTCCCAGCTGCCTGGGTTTCAGGGAAGGACTTCGCCCAATCTGCAGCATCTGCTCCCAGGGATGGGATTTTGCCCTGGATGCTGAATTTCGTGCCAAGCGGCTTGTCCGGGCAGCTGCTGGTACAGCAGGGGTCTGGCTCGTCCCAGCCCACAGCCAGCATGCCTCGAAAGAGAGCCAGAGAGACCCCAGCCTGGAATCCAGCGCCTGGGACCCCCCACTGCCATGTGCCACAGACATGAACCAAGAGCTTTGGGTCAATGACTGAGGATAGATGTCCTGGTCTCAATCAGCCTGGGTAGCACTGGACATTGAATCCTCAAGGGAAAAGGCTCCTGGACCCAATCACTCCCCCTTCAGCTCTGCAGACCGGGGTGGGGAGAGGGGTCTGCAGAGACCCTTAGCTGCCCTGCCACCTTTCCCCAACCCTCTAGAGCTGGACCCTGACATGAACCCCACCAAGGAGAGCTGAAGCGGGGAAGAAAGGATGCTGTTGAGAGGCAGAGGCTGGGGTGGTAGGTGGGCACCCAGGGTCTGAGTCTTGCTTCTGCCTCAGACTAGCTCTGGACAAACTGCTCTGGCTGAATCTTTCCAAAGCGCCTGAGTGATTTAGGAGCTGGACCCCTCATTCAGAATGGGCCAGAGGGGCTTGGAGAAGGGGACTTGGGGACAGGCGTTGCAGTGTAGGTGGACAGGTTCACAGTGCTGGCCAGGCCTCTTGGCAGCAGTTCCAAAAGCGCAGTGCGCCAGTGCCTAAGTCACTTTGGCTTTTTGGAAACTGATGGTCTGCCCAGGGCTCCCCTGAGAGGCCCTGAGGTACATTCAGAAAAGCCTTTCCCACCAGGCTGAGGGGTCCCAGCTGTAACTCACCCCAGCCCCTAATGACCCAGCTGCTGACCCTGGCCACCAACCCAGCTGGGGTGCCTCAGGACAGCTGCCTGCTGATCGGGGGGCCCTATTTAAAGCCCACCTGGGGACAATGCTCCTTCCAGCGGCCTGCCAGGAGGGGGGAAGCTCTCTGGCTCCTGCAACTGCTGCATCTGATGTCCTGAGCTGATTTGCTGCAGTCTGCTACGTTCCTGCTCAGCTCCAAGGAGGTGGGTGCATGCGGTACAGGCACCACGGGCCTGGGGGACTGTTGGAGCCGGGGGAGCTCTGCAGTTGCAGATGCCTCTTGTGCCTGTGTCGTGTACCAGGAGGGAGGCTTTGGAGGTTGAGAATGAATCTCGAGCTTGCAATGTTCGGGAGGGGTGGGGGTTGTTTCATGCCTCTTTGTGCTGGTGCGAATGACTCCATGGGGGTGCAGGATCCAGCCTGGCTCATGTCCCGGGTGGGCAGGGTCTGGCTCTTGAAGTGGTTGGTAGCACCTAAGCTTGGGACCTGTGCTTTTTCCCCACCCCACCATCCCTTTGGGCAGGCGGATGGACCCAATGATCTCACAAGATCCCTTCTAGCCCTAATGTCTATGAATCCCCCTCTCACCCCCTTCCCTAGGGAAGAAGCCATTTCCTCACCTTGCCCCTCCCAGGGCTTTGCTCCCCTGTCTGCCCCACACAAAGGGCTCTCGGGCATTAGGCAGGTCCTGCCAAATCCCAGCCTCTCTCCTGGCTGGGAGCTGGTCCCAGCTCCATGCAGACCCTCCGTGGCGCTGGTCTCTTGGGGCGCATCCTGGCGCATCCACAAGCGTGCTGCTCCTGGGACCAAGCCGTGATTCCCTGGCACCCAGAGCCCTTGGGCTAGATTAACCGTTCCAGGCACTTGATCCCTTAGCTGGTAAGGGAACCCCCGGTTCGTGTTTGCAAGGCAAAGACCCCCTTTGGACCACTGGTTTATTCCCAGTGCAACGGACGCGACCTCGGTGTTGGATGCGACTCGAAAGGCCGAGCTTTGCACCTACAACACTGGGCTTGGATTTGGGAAGCCCGAATCTAGCCCCTGCCTCTGCTGCAGCTGCTCCGGGCCTGGGGTCCTCTCTGCGGAAGATGAGCTGCGCCTCCTCGCCGGGGGCAGGAGCTTTCCCCAGTTCTGCCTTTTGTGCAGAGCCGACCACAACAATGCCGCACCGTGCCAGCACTGCCCTCCCCCTCCCCTCTGTGCCGCGAGGTGGGTTTCGCGGGGCCTGGGATGCTCGCTCCAACCTGAGGAAAGATAGAGGCGATTCCTGGAAAATCTAGGCCAGCTGGAAACCCCGCTGAGCCAAGCCAGCCTGCCACCGCCCCCCGCTGAGCCGTGCCCCGCAGTGGATGGGCTGTGCTTTGTCCAGCCGGCTTTTAAAACGGCTAATGCAGGCCGGGGAGGCCGGACAAGCACAACCCATGGGGGCTGATGGGGTGCAAGGTGCTGTACAAACCCCGAACCACAGGGAAAAAGCCCCTCCCTCGCACTTCTCTTCAGTGCTGAGATGCCTTCATTTTCTCCACCACCACCCCCCGGGGGTGATGGGCTCAGTGGCTGGTTGGAAAGCAAGGAAAGCTGCTTCGGGCATGAGCTTTCTGTGCTGGCTGGGGTGGGAAAAGCCAGAGGAACGCTGGCCTCTAATGCTCCGTCATTCGGGTGAAAAGGAGCTGGGTGCCAGGAACGCCGGGCCCATGCACAGGTCCGTGTTTGCTAGGGGTGGGTGGGCGCCACATGTGTGCACGTGGGTGTGGATAAGGTCTGGGTCCAGCCGGCTAGGAAACCATCCAGGAGGCGAAGGCAAGGGTCAGAGACAAAGGAAAGGGACAGGTGGCAGGAAGCCGAGGCTCGGAGGCCCCTGTCCCTCCAGGCTGGGTGGAAGGGGATTCTCGTACATGCAGAGGGGAGGATAACGGGACCGGCAGAAGGGACCAGGCGAGGGGGAGGGCTGCACTGGGGACAAAAGGAGGAAGGCGGTGTGGCCTGCGGATAGGGGAGCTGGCTTTGCCCAGACGGGCAGATGCGGGAACCTCTGCAAGACTCAAGAAAGGGACCCCTGCCCCCAGCAGCTATTAACCCAGCAGCTTCCCCCTCCCTCCCCCATTCAGTGGCCCGTGGCCTCAGGGGCTGCAAACCAACCGAGGGGTACAACCCCGCCTGGGTCTTTCAAGGAAGCCCTGATCTCCACCAGCTCCAGAACCTGCTGAGGCCATTCGGGCCAACAAAGGGGCCCCAATTCTGATCTTGCCCAATTTTGGGGGGCAGCATAAAGCAGGGTCAGGATGCAGCCCTGTGCATCCTAGCAGGGCTGGGATTTCTCTACCTCTCTTCCTTGTGTGTGTGTTTTTGGAGGCTTTTTCTTCTCTCTAACGAGCTGCTTTTTCCTAGCACATTGTTGCACCAACAACAGTACTGGGACCTGGGGTGCGTTTTGAAAGCCTGGGAGAGGAAGGAATGGGGGAAGTGGAAGAAGGGAATTAAACGGGGAGAGGAAAGAGGAAAAAAAGCAGTGATGACTAGCTCGATAGCATTTCTTATGTGCCTGGAGTCACTGCAGAGCCCTGTCTCTCCAGACACAGGAGAGCAAAGGGAGCCACAGCTGGAAAGCAGAGGGGGTGACCCAGGCACGTCTGGGAGCTACTGACCCAGGGGATTATTGGAGGGCTAATGGATGTTGTTAATGGGCCAGGAAGTGGAGCAGGGGCCTTGCAGGAAGGATCTTAAGGTGATTGCTAGCTGACTGAGCCCTGCCAGGCACTGTGAGCAAGGTGTTTGTATTGTTCTTGTGGCTCTTGCAAACTCACAGAGGTAAGGTTACCACCACGAGGCTCTTCACCCACCCATCTCCAAGCACTCCAGCAGGAGGCTGGGATACAATTAACTTGAGCTAACAGGGTGGCAAAGTCCCTTAGTAAAGCCATGAACGCTTGCACGCAGGACTAAACCTCTGTTACCCAGCAGTTAGTCCCAGGGAGGAGTCTGGTGTAGACATGCCCCCCTGCCACGGGGCTGGGCGGCTGAGAAAGGCCAGGTGTGGCTGCTAGGAGCCAAATCCTCTCCCTTTTTTACCCTTTATATATACCTGATCCAAACACCCACTGCAGCCAATGAATTGGGCTGCATCTGCACCTACCCCTTATACCAGTGCGATGTAGGGGTGCAATGACATGGAACAATCCCTTGCTGGCACTGGTGCCCATGGGGGCTCCAGTCCTGTTCACGCTGAAAGTCCCCTGGCCTGCAGGCAGACCTCAGGTACTGCTGAACCCACTGCAATGTGCATTAGTGTCGCAGGGCAGCAGAAGACCAGTCCTAACCACAGGGTAAGTCCATTGGGAGCAGAATCTGGCCCTTCTGGGTCCCTACTGGATACAGACACATCCAGTTCCACCAGAGACCTTTAGGTGCAAAGTGGCACGACTCAGAGAAAAGCAAGGCTGGAAGGGACCCTTCAGAGGTCAGTGAGCCCAGCCCCCTGCCAGAGGCAGGATCACCCCTGTTCCAGCTGGGGCTCTTGCCCCTGGCTCCAAACCCTGCGCCTCAAATCATCCCCCGGTCTTTTTAAAGCGTCCAAACAGCCTCTGCAGACAAAAGGCTTCAGAGCCTGGTTCTCATTCACCATCAAACAACGATCCACTGCTCCAGCGTGCGAGCGTGTGCCTGCATTAGGGTGCTTCGGCTCTCTGCCATGATCCAGACCTCGCCCATCGCCTTCCTCCACACCAGAGGCCCGTAAAATAACCCGCCGTGAGGCCTGCATGCAGGGCGTGACGGTGGCAGGTGCTTTCCGCCGTACCCCGGGCGCATCGCGGAGCAAACGAACGGCGCAGGGGGCCGAGCTCGCGTCAAATCGCTAGTGGTGGTGGTAGTGGCGCCGTGTTTTTTAAACGCACGTGCGCCCAAAAAAACCCAGCGCAAGGCAACGGCCGCACGCCTCTGCAGAGGGGCCTCGTGCCAGTGATGCAACCTGCATCCGTACAGACGCACACAGCTGCCGACTGAATGCCTTTTGCTCTTAAGCCCAGTTGGGGTAAAAGCGCGCCTCCCGCCCCGAAAAAGCCCCTGCCAAGTCCTCCTACCCCTTTATTTTTGTCACCCACCAAAGGTTTTCTCCAAGCCACAGCCCCACAGACAATAGACCCCTTGTTACGTTGCTGGGAACTTGCATGAAGACACCAGTGCCGCTCCGGCATCAGGCTGACGCGCTCTGGTGCTGGGTGGGTGTGCCATGGCCTCTCTGTGGCGTGAGCCTGGGTTTGACTTTGTCAC